TTCATACCTAAATGTACTGTTAGGAACATTTAGGTGGGGCCTGGTTGAATGCAGCAGGTCACTGGGAGAAAAGTGACTTAGAAGGGTATATTGTTATCCTTGACTCCTCCTTCTCTCTCTCTCTCTCTCTCTCTCTCTCTACTTCCTGATTGCCACAGGGTGAGCACTTCTCCTCTGACATGCCCTTCACCATGCTTTTTCTGCATTGGAACCAGCCAGCCATGGACTGAACCCATTGAAACCATGAGCCAGTAAATCTTTCCTCCTTTAAATTATAGATGTCAAGTATTTGTTCCAGCAACAAGAAAGTGACTGATACAGCATATGTGGAAGTTTCAAAGAAATAAATCTGAAGAAAGCACAAAACTGGGGTTGCTAAGGCACACTGATGTATCAGGCTATGTTAATTGGGTGAACCACCAGTTAGAGGGGAAAGCAAAAGTTACAGACTGTGAGGAATCAGCTAAGTCATAGAAATTAAAAGTAGTTAAATGTTAAAAGATGAAGTCATATGGAATGTCCAAAGTTCATGTCAAACAGGTGTACTACTACAGATGTAGAACAAGAGCAAAACATTAGTTAAGTGATTGGAGAAACGGAAAAAGGCAGCAGTAAGGAGCAGGCACGAGGCATTCCTGAGATTGAATCTGCATAACAGCAAGGTTGCCTGGAAAGAACTGAATGGGAAAGGGTTAGAGTTGTAAACAGGGGGCTAACTACAGAGTGGAGGACCATATCGCTCTTTGAGGTTAAGTTTAGGCTTTGCTTCGGTGGTGTTGAGATGAAGACCTGCAGGCTTTAAACATTTCCCCAGTGATACTACGCTGAGAGCAAAGGAAATGGGGATGTAGCAATCCAGAAATGAGACTAATGTAAGGTAACAATGGTCTTATGTAGGTAGCTCCTTCCACTCCATGACTTTTGCTTTCAGATATTTGCACCATCATGTAGTTCCCTTTCATGTTGAATATGACTGATCTATAATCAATAATCAATAGGATATTATAGAAACCATAGTGTAATTCCCAAGATGAGGTCATAAAAAACATTGTGGCTTCCTCCTTGCTTCCCTTGGACCCCATGCTATGGGGAAGACAACTGTCAGGTTGTGTGGCCAATGAAGCTATCTTATGGAGGGGTTCATATGGCAAATGACTAAGGCCTCCTACTAACAGCCAGCACTAATTTGTGCAGTATGTATGTGAATATTTTAGTTACTTTTTCATTGCTGGAACAAAATACCAAATACCCACAAAGTATAGGATGGAGGAGGAAAAGTTTATTTTAGCTTATAGTTTTTAAATATACATTTTTATTTTAAAGAGAAAAAACAATAACAAAATAACAACACAAAGACAAAAATAAAACAACCAAAAAAATAAAAAAGATATAGAATTTCAAAACAAGATGATTGGAAATTAACAATGGTTGTTATATTACATATTGTTATTTTCAACAAAGTTGCTCTGATAACCAGATGTAAGAATGCAAGATTGATCAAACAATTAAAGAGAATAAAAATTAATAAAAACATTAGAAATGGTACAGAGCTTCACTAAACAAGATGGTAGGAATTCAACAGTGGTTGTTATATTGCATATTGTTGTCTTCAAATAAGTTGTTCATATTACCAGATATAAGCATGCAAAATTGGTCAAAAAAATTTAAGCAATAACTGTTCCTTTCAATAAACAAATAGACATCAGCAGTACAATTATCCCAGCTATCCTTGTATATACATGTATATTTTCCTTTCCTTCTTTCTTTCTTTTCTCCTTTCCTTCGTCTCTGTTATTTCTCCCCTTTGAGCAATTTCTTTCCCTTTCACAATATCTATTGTACCTTTATTTACTCTTTCAGGTTCTTACACTAGGGAGACAATATGATGTTTACACTTGTAGGTCTGATTTATTTCACTTATGAATATGGTCTCTAATCACACCCATTTACCTATAAAAGCCTCAAGTTTATCTTTTTTATGCTGAATAATGCACCATTGTATAGAAGTACCACATCTTTTTTATCCATTCCTCAGCCGATGGGCATTTGGGTTGTTTCCAAGATTTAGTTAAGACAAATTGCACAGCTATAAACAGGGTACACATATATTGCTGTGGTATAATGTTTTCAGTTCTTCTGGAAAAATAATAAGGGGAGTAGCTGGTGTTACAGTTTGTGTCTAGATGTCCCCCCAGTGCTTCATAGAGTCATAGGGCAGACTTCTAGAGATTTTGATTGATCCATGGTCCAATGCTGGGGTTATGGTTGTGAGTGCTACACCTGCACTGGGGTGGGGAGCCTTCATACAATATAAGGAGGGAAAAAGTCATGCTCTCTGCTGCTTCTCCCTTTTTGCTCTTGCTGTTTTTGCTGTTTCACACCACCATGAGCTGTTGCCATCTGCCATGAGCCATTCTGCCTTGGAGCCAGCTGAGTATAGACTGGAATCTCCACACACTGTGAGCAAAATAAACCTTTCCTTCCTTAATTTTGGATGTCAGGTATTTTGTCCCAGCAATGAGAGAAGGCTATCCAAGACAGCTAGGTTGAATGGGACCTCTAATCCTAGTTTTCTGAGGAATCTCCACAATGATTTCCATAGTGGTTGTACCAGTCTATGCTCCCACCAACGTTGGAAAAGTGTTCCCCTTTCCCTACAGGCCGTCCAGCATTTGATGTTGGTTGACTTCTTGATGGCCATTCTTTCTAGGGTGAGATAGAAGCTCAGTGTTGTTTTAATTTACATTTCTCATATGACCAATGAGGTTGAACATTTTTTCTTATATTTATGTGCCATTTGCATTTCTTCATCTGAGAAATATTTAGGGTGGAAATATTTTATTTCTGTATTAATTTTTTTTTGTTGTCTTTTTGAGACAGGGTCTCAACATGTAGCTTAGGCTGGCCTTGAGCTCACTTTGTAGCCCAGGGTGGTCTCAAACTCACAATGATCCTCCTGTCTCAGCCTCCCGAGTGCTGGGATTACAGACGTGCACCACCACTCCCTGCTCTCCATTAATTTTGAAGGATAGTTTTTTGTAGGGCACATCCATCTGAGTTGGAAGTTGTTTTCTTTCAGGACCTGAAATATTTCATTCCAAGCTCTTCTTGGCTTGATGGTTTGTGTTGAGAAATCTGCCTGATTCTGATGGGTTTTCTTTTATAGGTGATTGGTTTCTTTTTTCTAACAACTTTTAATATTCTCTTCTTTTTGCTGAATTTCTGTGATCTTGATTATTATGTGTCTGGGTGTAGATTTATTTTGGTTATGGCTAATTGGAGTTCTATGTGCCTCATTTATATGTATGTCAGATATTTTTTCCATGTTTGGGAAATTTTTCTGCTACTACTTCTGCAAATAATCTTTTTATGTCATTTGTGCTGACTCCTGCTGTTTATTGACACCTATTAGACTTATGTTGTTTTTCTTTGCATCATCTTGCAGATATTGAATTGTTGTCTTGGTTCTTTGTTATTTTTAAGAGATCCTTGCAGAGGAGAAACAGTGGCATGGCAGCAAGAAACAGAGATAGATCAGGGGGAAAGGGAAGGAGGAAGATAGACCCTTACAGGCTGCACCCCCAGTGACACACCTTCTCCAACCAGGCTTTACCTCAATATCACATTTACGTATAAACTCATCCATGGAACAGTCCACTGATGAGTATTATGTCTCCATGATCCAGTCATTTCTCCAACCCACATCTCTGAGCACATGAATCTTTGGGGGGACATCTAGATATAAACCATAACCACCCAAGATTGAGTAATTCACCAAGGGTAGAAGTTTATTTAGCATAAGTTTCTAGAGGCTGTCAAGTCCAAGAGCAGAGGGCTGGCTAACTGGTGAAGGTCTTCTTGTTATATGATAACATGGTGTAGGCCATCATATGGCAAGATGGAGCAAGCTGGCTCAGGTCTCCCTTTTCTTATGAAGTCGCTGATGCCATTGTGGGGGCACTACTATCATGCCCTAGCCTAATCATAATCAGCTCCCAAAGGCCCTGCCTCCAAATAACATTGACATATGAATTTGGGAACTAAATTTACAACACACAAACTTTTGAAGTACACATTCAAACCATACCAGTTGGGTTACACAGAAAGCTGCCAGCAGTGAGTGGGGTTCAAAGCAGGAAAAACTGTGTAACAGGACAAGGCTGTATGATACAAACAGCCTTTCTGCTTTGGCATAGCCTATACTGTTGGAGGTATAATGAAAAATATTTATATTGCAGCATTTATGGAAAGACTAATAGAAAAATCACAATACAGGATCCTTATGATTGTGGAACAAGACTATGCCAACTTCTGTGAATGAGTCTTCTTCTTTTGAAAAATACTCCTAGCTTCCAGTGAGACTTGGCAGACCATGGACTCAGAACTGGCTAGTGTGAGCTAGGTTCTATTGGACACATCAAGTCAGGCATGACCAGCATTAAAACTTTCATAGAATGCAATATGTACTTTCTGGAACTAAGCATAAACAAGATCAAAGAATACAAGCAAACTGTGTGAGCAAGTAACCCAGATTTCCTTGTCATTCACTACAGTTGCCCTAGAATCCCTCCACAAGCTTCCTCTGTGCTAAACAAGGAGGAAAGAAGACCAAGCATGGTTTAATGATAGGTTAGCTCAATGTATGGGTAAAGCTAAAAATGGATGACAGCTATATGAAAGTCTTATCAGGATTAAGTGATTAAAGATTGCCTAATCCGAAGAAAGGAATCCCACATAATATAGTATCTGACCAGACAACTCTTCATGGCATAAGAAATGGAGAGACTGAGCCTATGAACATGGAATCCATTGATCATATCACATAACTCACCATGTAGAAGCCACTACTAGATAAAGTATTGGAATGGCCAGTTAAAGATCCAGCTGAAGGGGCAACCCTCTCAGGTCCCACTCTGTCCCTCTTAGACAGAAGCTTTCTTTCTCTCAATAAATACTTCCTACTCCATTAGATTTAATTCTTTTATTTTAGAGAACACAAACTCGGCATATCGGACATCTAGCAGGCTCTTGCAGGGGAATACAAGAGCTGACCTCCCCTTGCCCTGCTCTGTGCCCCACTCTGCACTCCAGTTCCATCCAGTGGGAACAACAACCACCACAACAAAAGATCCAGGTGAAGTGACAGCATGAGGTGACAACTACAATGATGACATCCTCTAGGGCAAGATGGGGTATGCCTTGAATCAGATAGTATTCTAAGAGGGTGCTGTGTACCCACCAGAAAGTATATGTGGGTCCCAAAAGGTTGTGTGGGAATGCATGTTGCTCCCCTTAACATCACTGCAATGATTCATTGGGCTTTCCCGTTCCCATAACTCTGGACTCTGCAGTTAGAGGTCTACTTGCTCACAGACACAGAGAGATTCAATTGGGCTACAAATGATGACTGCTTCTAGATGCCTGAGCCTAGCTAAGATAGTTGTACTACTGATTTTTATTGCTTTATTGAAAGGAACAGTTAATGTTTAATTGTTTGATCAATCTTACATGCCTATATTTGTTTATCTGAGCAACCATTTTGAAGATATCAATATGTAATACAACAACTGTTGTTAATTTCCTATCACCTTGTCTGAAATTCTGAATTGTTGTATTTTTTGTGTTATTTTGTAAATGTATGTGTGTTTGTTAATGTTTTTGTTCTTTTATCTTTAATATAGATGCTTGAGCCTCCTATGGTCAAAGAGGTAAAAAACTAGCAGATAAGAAAAGGAATGGCCGTTTTGTGGGAATCAGTTGATGCTGATCAGTAAAGGAAGCTAGGGTTGCTGGTACCCAGCGTGGTAGGGTGGAATATGTGTGGAATTCCAGTGACTTGCTTGGATATCTCTTGGTCCCCCTTTGCCCAAACATGACTGAGAATGGACAAGAGCAGCAACCCTGGCTGGAGGATGTACTCAGACCCTTTAGGAATGATTGAGGCATTTAACCTGGTAAGCTGCTGAGATCCACCAAGGTTGGAGCTAAGGTTTAGAGGGGTTAGAGGAGATCATGGAGGTATATGATGAGGACCAGCTGTGGCCTTGAGACCAATTGCAGTGACAGGGGTCACACCATTAACTTTCCTCTTCTAAGCTTCCTTACAGGAACAACAGTTCTGGAAAAGAACTGTTTCCTGCATTCAAATGCAGAAAGGGATCCACATAATTCAGGGATAGACTACAGCTCACGCAAGGTGTCACTCAGGTTGCCTTTCAAGCCAAGGCTTGCTGCCCAGTTTCAGCCTGCAGGAGTACTCTAAGTGGAAGCCCACAGCTTTAGCTCCTGCTGGATCTGTCCAGTGTTCCAAGTACAGTCCTATTCTTCCCCACTGGCCCCCACCAATGACAGCAAGCCAGCGTGGTACAAGGGTCTCTCCTTTTCTGCCCATGGTTGCACTCCAGCTCCAGAGCTCCCTGGTGGGCTGCTGAAGACTGTCACATTTGCATGGAAGTCTGACAGCTCCCTGGTTCCATCCTGCCTTCTCCCTTGACTTTAGTGTTGCAACCAGGAGCTCTCTGCACTCTGAATTCCATATCGGTATCTCCTTGAGAAGCTGGGCTGTGACAACACCTATTTCAAAAATTCCCTGACTGTCTCCTTTGTTCTTCCTTCCTACAATGCCAATTGTTTTCCATAGCTTTAAATTGGAAGGAGCTGTGTCTATTCTTCCAAGCATTCTTACTCACCAGGATTCTGCACTTTTTAATTCCCTACAGCATTAACCACACATATCCATGCTCCCTGAGTGCAGGGACTGTTTCTTAGACTTCTGCATATTCCTAGTAGACTGTTTAATGTAAACTAGCTAACAAACACATTAAACTTAATCAGTTTGATAATCAAGATCCCTGGGAACCTGTCAGACCACAAACAATGCCAAGTCGATTAAAGACACATCAGCCAGAGGCAACAAGAAGTCAGAAAATGCTACGTGGGCCCCAGCTTTGGCTGGCTTTTTTACTACAGTACTCTATTTCTGAGAGATTCATTCGTTTCCCATCAGTCACTACACAGAAGTGTCATTATGTTTTCAAAGAACTTGTAATTTGGCAGTTAGTTTTATTATTATTATTACTATTATTATTATTATTGACATGGCCATGACAAAGAGACCACCATAGGGACAAAGTACAAACCACTTACCCATTTAAAGCATTATTTGTGTTTTCTTTTATAGTATTCAGAGATTTAAGAGCAGTTTCTTGCTAAAACATGAGGCTTTTCACCTGCATCTACAATTGCCAATAGGTGACTATAAGTAGAACAAAACTTGACCTTCATTTTATAAAACTCAGGGTCAAATTCTTTTTTTTTTTTTTTGTACTGGGAATCCAACTCATGACCTTGTGCTTGCCAGGCAGGCACTTGCACCACTGAACTGCACCCCCAGACCTCAAATTCTTTTTAGCTCTGAGTATACGCATGTTAGTCATTTAAGGAGTGTCTGTATAAAAATTGGCAGAACAAAGTTTACTAGCCCTATATTTGCTTAACCTATGCCGTCCCCCTCAAGACAAAAGGCACTGAAACATGAATAACTAACCTAATTTTCGGGATTCTCAGGAACTTCTGATTGTCAGCATTTACAGTGTTCAGTTCCAGACCTTTTCTCTCCTCCAACAACTCCTTGGAAGTGTCCAGCCATTGTCCTGCGGTCACCTGAACTCCAAGAAAGGCAGAGCCTCGTGTGACAGACTGCTCCAAGCAGAAATCCTCCTTTCACAGGAATGGAATCACCCCTCAAGCAAGGAGGATTCAAACAAGCCCGAGATAATGATCGACCTGGCCCTGACCCACCTTAGCCAGTCTTTAAAAGCTGGCCTCCTGCATTTGTGGATGAGTAAGCCTAAACCACTACATCAGAGTGTGGCCCTTCCAGCTACTTCAGCTGGAACACTTTCCCTCTTTGTTCTTACTTATTTTCTGAGGGGACCAGCTTGGTCTTTGTGGGAGTTATGCTTGCCCATATTTTCCCTTACATTTAACTAAAACCCTTTGGCTGAAAATTCATGTTTCAGTTTTAATTTTCATTGCAAGGACCCTTGTTAACCTATTATATTATTATTACTATTATTGTTATTAATGCCTTGCAACAGGCCCATATAGTCCAGCCTCTTCTGTACAACAAGGAAAGAATTGGCAGTATACATCCAGTAGTAAGTAGCAAGCAGTTACATTTATTGAAGATCATGGGAAGTTGTGCTCAGGGCAAGTCCATGCCAACAAAAGACATGGCAGCGATAGCAAAAGGTGTTAGGGTAACAGAGAAGGCACAGCTGGCTGAAATAGCAGCAATAGCAGCAGCAGCAGCAGCACCAACAGCAGCAGCAACGGCACCAACAGGAGCTGCTGCGTATAGATAAAATCAGGATTTTGTAATTTAAAGGCCAGGGGTTTTCCCTTGGGGACCTCCCTCTGAATCATTATGTGTGATGGGCAGGAATGCTTGACAGGATGCAGTGTTATTTTAGGGGCTCTCCACATACATGTGCATCCCAGAATCCACTCTGAACTTAATATGAAATGTAGTACATATCAACCGTTAATGAGGTGGGAGGAGGGTAAAGGTGACTGAAAATCAGGCTAGGAGATCCAACAGTCATGTGCTCTTGCCAACAGCATCAGAGATCGCCTGGGTTTATGTGATTTTATTTTCCACCTCTCTTAAGACAGTGGAAGCAGGAATGACCCTAGGGACTGTTTAGAATTAAACAGAGGAAAGCGACTCTCTCAGCTCCGCCCTTTCTAACTGTACTTATTATTATTGCATTAAGGATTTAATAGGGCCTTACACCTGCTAGGCAAGCACTCTACCTCTGAGCTCCAACCCAGCCTATGAATTTCATTATTTTTTAAAAAAGATGTATTCTATATGATTAATGAACAATTTGTTATATTTTTGGAATGCTGGGAGGAAAATCTTTTTCCTTTTCCAACTTGTGATCCAGAGTTGGGGGATTTTCAAATATCTTAGAATAGACAGATTAACAGGACAAAACATCAGGTTATTCATGTGTACACTCAGGAGCTTTCAATGAGGGAGAACTCAAGAAATAGTCCAAAATAAAGATTTGTGTATCTTAATTTAACGCAGAGAGGAGGGTTAAGTAGTATTTAGGTTTTCAGTGAGCGAGTATAGAAGGTTCCACACGTTTTTTTGATGCTAATGTATATGCAACAATTTCTCTCTTCCGTGGCTGAATAGGCAGGACACTGGGGGTGGCGGGGCGGGGGGGGGGTGCGCTGCGTTTCCGGAAGGCTCTGCTTTGGCGGGATACAAAACTTTTAGATAACATTTCTTCCTGCGTCTTCTGAAGCTTAAAGGTTTTCACTCACAAATAATCTTTCAGCCAAGTCGGGACGTGGTTAGGGGCCGTCTGAAATCTTGGGATGTGCCTAAGCTTGCCCGCTTGTGAATTCTTGCTGTCAGGGTAGTAGGCAGTGGTTTGGGGCAGTCCAGAACGGGCCAAGAAGTAGCTCTTCAAAAAGCTCCAGAGAGGGTAAAAGAGAGAAATCATCGCTGTTCTTAGGAAGGATCTGTGGTGTGGAAGGAAGTGCAGAGCGATCTAGATCAGGCAGATCGCGATCTGGGGCGCGGGGTCGAGAGTCTGGGAACCAGGGGAGCACGGGGGTTCCGTCTGATGGCCGTGCATGTTTGCTCAAGATACTGCCTCAAATGCACGGCGAGGAAATGATCTCGAAGCGGTGGGGTGGTGGAGAAGATTCGTCCACACTGGAAACTGCGCGCCCGGGGTCAGCTCTTTCTGGCTGGGTGGGGCGGAGAGTCAGAGGACGCCCCGTGGCCCGTGTCGCACGTCACTCGCCTCTTCCAGGGCTGGGTATAAAAGCCTCCACCAGAGCCCCAAGAGCACTCTTACTTCCTCTTCTTGCCTCGCAGCTACGCGCGCTCAGCGGGGAGCCTCACCCTCGTCGGTCCTGGAACCCAGGCAGGGGGTGGCGCCTGCAGGGGCAGTGCCGTGGTCGCCGCGGATTTGCTAGCGCCCGCTTGCCTTCCTTTCCACCCGCTCGCCACCGCCGCTGACTTTCGAGTCTGACCCCAGCACCCCGTCGGTGCGACCTGGCCTCTGGACCCTAGCGGCGAGCGGGAAAGCGAAAGCGCTGGGCTCCGCGGAGGCGCCGCCCGGGGCCGCCTAAGTTTCGATTCTCGCCGAGCGCGTCCGCGCGCCATGGCGGACCCGACGGTCTGCTGCTTCATCACCAAGATCCTGTGCGCCCACGGCGGCCGCCTCAGCCTGGACGAGCTGCTCCGCAAGATCGAGCTCTCCGAGGTGCAGCTCCTGGAGGTGCTCAAGGAGGCCGGGCCCGACCGCTTCCTGGTGCTGGAGACCGGGGACAGGGCCGGCGTCACTCGCTCGGTGGTGGCCACCACTCGAGCCCGCGTCTGCCGTCGCAAGTTCTGCGACAGACCCTGCGACAACCTGCACCTCTGCAAGCTCAACCTGCTGGGCCGGTGCCACTATTCGCAGTCGGAGCGGTGAGTGCGCGGG